TTGACGGTACTCACCTCGATGCTGTAGGACTTCTTGATAGCAAACATTTCTCGATTCTTTTGCGCCGCTGCGACAGCCATCATATCCGCCGTATCGCTCTTCCTTGCGAAAACTCTTCAAGCGTCCGATAATTCTCGGGTCGCCGGTCTCTCGGTTTTCGTTGCTCGGATAGTACCGTAAGTACGTGCGCAACGAGGACTGCCTGAGCTTTTCACTGCTGTCTACGTGAGCAAACTAGCCGGAAGGATCACCAAAGGGAGAAGGACGATATTAAAATTCCTTTTTCGATCGGTTAACTTCTTTCTTCGAGCTTGAAGATTCTCCGACGTTTGTCTTTCTTCTTGGTCTTCCCTTTTCTTCGATCCTTGCGGTTCTCGGATGCAACTCAACAGCAACGACAACAACAACGGCGGCTGGCGGCTACGCTGAGGATGACAACGGATCCCTCTCGTGTGAGTCCGCTTTGTACGAAGCGTGCGAGCGAATGCGCCTACGGGGCGGATTGCCGCCGCATATAAACGTTGCCTCCCTTCACCGCCGGCTAATGTCGGGGTCAGGGGTGCCCCCACCCCACCCCACCCCTGTTTCGGGTGGTCCAGCGGCAGCAGCCACCGCCGCCGCCGCCACCACCATCGCGTCCTCCTCGCACGCCGGCAACGACGCCGCTTCCACCGATCGTGGACTTCTGCTTTTCGAACAGCAGAAGGTACTCTGTGTCTCTGACGAGAATGCTAGCGAGACAGAGCCGACAGTTTCTCAGTAGCGATTTTGATTATAATTTTGATTCATTTTGTGCAATCGTATCGAATCTTTGTCGTAAATCAGATGAAGACAAATGAAAACTGGGAGACAGATTCGCATTCCTTTCACTGGAATTCTCGTCAGAGATGGATACTTGCATTGTTCGACGTTTGCTTGCATTCGCAGGATTGTGTCGATAGTTAAGGTATTTGTCGTACTGGGACGTTGTGTGGTTGTGAAGAATTGAAATGTGTTAGGTTCTTTATAATGAATGATCGTTGTGGTTATAACGGTGCTTGGTAATCTATGATCGGAAGTTTACGAACGCCTGAAACTTTAGAATGGTTTGTGGGTTGAGAATTGTGTGATGTATTTTATTATATCGATTCTGAATGTTTCAAGGAAGTTGTTTTGGATTTTAATGATGGTGACGAAAACGAGATGTACAATGGTTTTCTTTTGTTAACGATTGTTGTGAGCAGGTGATCAAAAAGCAATTATAAATTTCACAGATGATATTAGCAGGTTAAAGGGAAGGAAAGCGTTACAGAAACTATATTTTCGTCTGAAAACCGTAAAAGTTGTTGGGGTTTCCCGTTGACAACGCAATTTTGATGACTGTAACCCAGAACCAAGTACATTTCCTGTGTCTATAAATATTTTCTGTACGCGGATGTAATTTTTTTTATTTTATTTTACCAATTCTCTCAGCTGCTCAAATATTTTCCTACTGATCGAAATTATGTTCGTCCGGAAGTGAATCAGATTTGCATTGGAAGGAATTCGAGGAGGATCGTATTTATATCACGTATAACAAAGAATAATTGACATTACGTTTAATGTTATTAACAAGCATGGAGGTATACATTATCTTAGATGACTACTTCACAAAGCAAGACTTGGATTTTTTAAATTAATTTTTGATCTAATTAAAGGACTTTTTAATCTTTTGCATTGGAATAGCTACCCCTTTCCTTAATAAGAATTTTCTTATGTAATTACCTAACGAGAATACGAAGTATTATAGCCTTTGTGGTATAATAAGATAATTTGAAATTAGAAAGTAGAACATTAAAAACGTTACCGTCTGTTAAAAGAGATACAAGATGATACGGCTGAAACAACTGTAACGAAGCTACTAAAGACAATAAATAAAAGACTTTAATACCTTTTACGTCTTTTTTTCATTAATTATAAATATTAGAAGTGATTTCAAACTTCTAAACGACATAACACTATTATTTCATGTTCATACGCAAGGTAAATACATTTTAGAGCAGCTGAACAATTTGTTACCCCACATGTTCTTGAAATCAATTTACGTAAATACAAAGAAATGTTACACACATAATTCAAAACTCACAAAAAAATAGGAGAAATAAATTATTACTTAAGGAATGCTTACGCTATTAATAAATTCAACAGTTATAAAAAATCAATGTTTAAAGAAGAACAAATTTAAATGACTTTTGTAACAAATATTATCAAATGCACGTTCCATCTGAAATTGCAGTATTTTTCATCTGAAAATAAAACAATTCTCCGAACACTCTCGATCAATGATAACGAACGGATAAACATAAATTGCCCAGGAACTTAGTCATTAGATTACCATCGAACCGTCCTCTTTGTTTTTATGAGGAATAATACTTTGTACAGTAATATTAACGAAGGGCAGTATTTATGATCAATTCGAACCGTCATCGGGCAATTCCAGGCGAGATTAACGTTAAACGCGAGAACGAGGGAAAACCTTTCGAGTTCGAAAATTCTATAAATAGTCAACGTATACTATTCGCAACAGGTCAGGTAAAACGTCATTTCATCTGAACAGAAGGAAATTTTCCTTAAGCGTCGTTTCCGTGTTCGCGCGCCGCGCCGCGCCGCCTGTCGACGTCACTAACTCGTCACGAGACTCGGCAGGCTGGGGGCATTTGGGAACTCCCGTGTGCGCGATCGCGAATTCCGTTGATCCCTTAGTAGTTCATTCCACTCTCGCCGGTGAATTCCCCAGACGCACAACTTCGTCCGCTGCACAGTGAGCAAAATCACTGCTCCATCGGTCAAAAATCTGTAACGTTCGAATAAATAAAGACAAGCTAATTTTCTAATAACAATGAAACGGTTTTTGGTAATTTCGCAAAAAATGGTAATTATCCTATATGCAGTTAGTTACAGTAATTAAGAATTATTACTAGATATTACTAATTACTAAACCTATTGTATTACTATATATGATTTGTTAATATTTGTTATTACCTATATGTATTACCTTTTAAGGAAATTATTATATTCATTATTAGTAGATACCTTGATTTTATTTAATCAAAACATTTCATATTTTCAAGAACGCCGAGAAATTGACTTTTGGCCACAGAAACATCGATATCTTTTCATTATACTTCGTGAGACTGAACAGTAGAATCCAATAAAATTTGATCTGATTACTAGACTGCGGACTTTTATGCATTTGCGGACAAAAGTACAAGATTGCACAAAATGCACTCGACACAATGAAATATATAAAACATCTGCGTAAAGTGTTTTTAACACGTTGAGCGCCAACCAAATCGAATTACTATAATTCACTCCATTAAACGATGAGTATTTGAAAATATTTTTATGTTATAAATAATGCTATTTAATTCAGCTAGATTTAGCGAAATAATAATTGTATATTCTATACAAAGCGAAAAACAAATTTAAAATACTTCTAAACCGTTAAAGGTTAATATATGGAAAAGTAATGTGTAGTGCTTTCTGTAATATTTGTTAGGTCTGAGAATAAATAAATGTTGAAATATAGTAAATTAGTAGTTAGAAACGAATAGATTAAAATCTACCGAAGTTCTACCGAAATTTTATTTTTCTAATTATATATATATTTTTTTTTATGAAGAATTTGTATAAATATCTGCAGTGTACTGATGACAGATCGACGCTACCTCAAATGTAATTATTTCATGTTTTATAACCTCCAATTATCAATAATCTGTAATAAAACGTAAACTGATCGGAATAAATCCTAATTAACAATTACCGGTTGTAATGAAATCAGAAGTTGCATTTTATGTAGTTATTAGGCATGAGCAAAATATAATGGTGTTCGCTGACACACTCTCCATTTACAGCAGAACTTCATTCTCACACAATTATAAGCTGTTCATATAACAATCCAGTAATTTCTCCTATTAGATCTGACTTTTCTGTCGAATAACCAGAGTTCACGTACAGATAAGTGACTTCTATTACACACTTAATTCATTTTTTATATTATAGCGATTTTAAGTTTTATTAGTTTGCAAGCGACTTGTGAAAACAGTGATTTAATAATGTCTGGTGATTTAATTAATTTATTTAAACAGGAAATATAACCAAAGCAATAATATTCTTTATCATTTATAACCAGGGATTGAAAACAGTGTAAAATAATGCACAAAATCAGTTTTTTTGCGGGGAGCATGTGCGAGCGGAACTCGTCATTTCCACTCAAAAGATTAATACGATTAATATGTAATTCTTATACAAATTGTAACGATAAATTTTTTTCGATTTCTTCAGATATTCAATATGGCATTCAAATGAATTTATTTATTTTTAAAATCATTTTGAATATTTAACACTGTCAAGATATCAATAGTTACGAAGTAAGGAAAGTGTGTCAATTACTTACTCATGAAAATTAAGATCAGATAAATGAAGTCTTAGGTTAAAAAACTAAAACATACCTTATTTTTTCCAGCATATTGCGCAATATGTTTATATAATAGAATGACACTCAGTATTAGTTCAGATAATATAAACTTATATACAGTTCAGCTAATCTTACATTTATGAAAATTTCGTTTAAATCAGACTTGTCCAACTGACGGCTCAAGACGACAGTGAATGGAGTCCCACAAAAAATCATAAGCTTACAAACTTAATGAGATTGCGACTAAAAGATCCATTAACAATCCATTAACAATTAATCCTCTTGTCCCGAATGATACGCATAAATACCACAAACATTTTAAATTACTGGAAAGCTAGAAAATCCTTAGATAAAGGAAAATTGTACCACATGGGGATCTTTGCTTATGGCTGATAGCTTAACGCTAGATTTACGGAACCCGTCAATTTAACGGATATTGAATTTTTCAAATATTATTTAGTTACAATTTAATCCGATTTTGATTTGTGCAATTGTGTAAATACGCATTGCAATACTCTGGTTTTGAAGCAACAATTTTCACGATTTATATAGATGATCATGCAGTTTTCTAGAAACAATAGAGTACAGTGCAGAATAAACGTCCGTAAATCTTGTGTTAAATGCTAATCAACTGTCATACTGTGATCGATTTAACTACTTTATTATTACTGATTTATTGAAACTAAGAGAAAATTCCAGTCTTATTCTATGTCAATGCGTACTCTAAAGTATAACCATTGATAACAGTGAAATAATATGTAATTTGCATTCAAACAAATTAAATAATATTTATGGTTGTTAAATTCTATTTGAAATTTTCATCACGAGTCTGACACGATATTGCAGGGCAAGAAGATAATAGAAAATTCTCAACCGTGAAGTGTTAATTTAAGTGCGGCCCATAACAATCTGTTCTCTTCCAATGTGGCCCAAGGAAGCTAAAAGGTTCGTCACTCTCGGTTTAAAGGTCTCAAGGTCTATTGTATTAGTTGACGATCGGGCAACGGATCGACCCGCGATCGATCCACTTAAGTAATCCACCGGTGACAGGTTAATCATCGT